ATAACTTGCATTCATAAAATGCAGGGTCTTGTTTCAAATTCCCCCTGCTACATCCATCTCTGTGTCACAGCACCCTAAACCATGGTATAAAATAAGAATGTCCTATTGTTCAAAAGCCTCAGGGTTAGAATACTTAGCAGAAATTAAAGTATGGTTCACATATGCTGTCATTTAATCCTCTGAAAATTGTATCAGTCATTATCTTGAGCCCATGTAGAAGTGTAGACACAGAATGATATAGGAAAGTACAGAAAGCAAGTAGATATCAGTGCGGTGAAGTATCTAACCAATAAAGACTTAACATGTTGTTTTCTGTTTGTCAGCATAAACAATAGTTATTGCTAAACTGAAAGCCAGTACATTATACACTGCTCTTCCAGGAGAAAAGAGCATTTGCATGAGAAATTGCAGTTCATAGTTCAGGAAAGAACCTCATTCTCCCTTTGTCTCATGGGAGAAGTCTCATGAACAGAGACCAAATATTCCAACAGGCTATTTCCCTGCAAGGAAAGATGAGAGTACTTTCTAAAACTCAGTTTCATTACTACCTGACAAGAAAAAAAAAATAGTCCTCAGTCTGTAGTTGAGGAAATCCCAGAACGGCAGGTCTTCCTAGACTCCTAGAAGTTCTCCAGAGAGGGAACTCACTGCCATTGACAAGTGCATAAGTTACTGCAAAAATACTGCCCCCGTATGCCACAGCTATATTGCTTTGAATGAAAGGAAAGAAAATTTGTTTTTGAGCAGATTCGGTTTTCAACTTCCCTGAAGTTATTTATGTAAAAATTTTATGTTGCTGTTATGTTGCTTTCTCTCCTGAAAGCAGAACATACCTTCTTCCAACAGTGAGAAAAGAGGAAGGGTGCTGAGCCCTGGCTATACATCTTTTATTATATAGAGAGACAAAGATCACAGGAGGCTCATGGGTATCGGGAAGCAAATGTGATGTTGTTTTCCAGTCCTTAAGGAGGTTTATGTTAAACTGCCTTTGCCAGCTTCCTCTCTGCTGGGTTTTTACACTGTCAAATCTGGTAATGAAACCCTTTTGTATATCTGGAATTTAGTTGTTCAACAAGTAGCCAGCATCTAGAGGAAACTGGAATTATCCACATTACACCATATACACAAAGAAAAAGCTGTAAGATTTTCAAGAAGGATGTTATATATCAAACTTTTATCTTTATTATTTTAATATTGTTTATATAGTTGAGGGATGCATACCCATGTGGGCCTCTGATTAGGGCCAGGAGGGTTAATTTGTTTCAAAAATACCCATTTTTGCAGACAGAATAGGTTAAAAATAAGCTGTGTGTTATTTATCCATATCATAAATACTTTGCCTTTTAGTAATGGGAGACTAACCTGTTGGGATTTAGCATCTTGCCAGGTTTCATAACACAGTAGAACTCATTTCTCCAGAATTCAGTTTTACTGTGGTCAAGGTTATAAGCCTATTCTCTTTGAGAGAAAAATAAAGTCTTATTTTTTTTAACATAATGGCACAAAGCCACTATTCATAAATTGCACCTGTGGGTACAATGTGAAGTGGATGAAAGGGTGAATAATCCTGCAAACGTTGTAACATTTCAAGGTTGATAGAGCCTGTGTCATCCTGCCTCTGATGCAGCAGTAAGGGTCTGTGTAAGGGCTGTTGTCCTTGTAAGAAGAAAAAGCTTGCAGGGATCAAAACTATTTATGCTAGAGTTGGTAATGATAAGTCTTCATTTTGTCTTATATCAAATGGGATTTTAGAGTTTTTCATAATTATCCAGTCAGGAATCACAGATCCATACCTCTGAGTCAAGTGACATTTGGATGCAATCTTTATACTTGAAAACAATTTGTTTTGATTTGAGAGGCAGAGTGATAGAAACAGAGAGTTCTCATCCACTGTTTCATTACACAAATATCAGTCACTGGCAAGTACCAAGAGCTCAGAACTCTATCTGTGTCACCATGTGGGTAGCAGGGATCCAACTGCCTGAGTCATCTCTACAGTGGTTGCACTGGCAACAAAGTGATGTCAGGAGCTCCAACCAGGAAGTAAAACCCATTGCTCTGTACCAGAATATGATAGTCCTGACAATTTAATTGCTAGACTAAACCCCTACCCCAGTTTTTATATATTTTTATATATATTTATATATTTTTCTCATCCCAAATAAGCACTTAGAAATCAGCCTGCCTAAGAATAAGAAACAAAATTATCATAAGTAAATGTACAATTGCTAAACTTATGGGAAAGCTCCATTGTGCTTGTCTTATGGTTGTATCTGCATTTTTATAATATGCACATCATAACCACAGGGACGCTTATGTTTTTCATAAGCAGAAATGTCGATAAGGCATTCCTCCCCCTCTAAAAAAATTATTCACAGGTGGCAAATCACTTTAAGAACTAAATTCAGTGGATGGGTTTTGAATTTAGTAAAAAAAACATAAGCTGACATTTATGTTCATCATTGGCCGATTATAGACCATATATACATATTTTTTCATCCTAAATTACTCCATAGGATTAGGCATTGTGGCACAATTGTTACGGTTCTGCTTGGAGTGTACATGTTCTCTGTCAAAGTGTTTGGATCTGAATCTTGCCTACACTTCCTACTAACATAGACTCTGTGAGGCAGTAGTGATGGTTCATGCACTTTGGTCCTTTCTACCTGTGAAGAAAACCTGGATTGAGGTCTGAGCTCCTGATTTAAGCCTGTCCCAGATTCAACTGATGCAGATATTTGAGGAATGAACCAATGGATGGGAAATACATGTTCTGTTTCTCCCCACCCCTTCTCTCTCTCTGTCTCTCTGTTTCTCTCTCTGTCTCTCTGTGTCTCTCTCTCCCCCTACTTCTCTCTCTCTTCTTCCTCCTCTCTCCCTCTCTCCATCTCTGATTTGTAAACAAGCCAAGCAGTAAACAAGGAAACAAACAAAAAACTGGTTTTCTTTGAAAAAGAAGGTAAATAATCCCAAAGAATAATAGTGATCACCATTACCTCAGACGCTGTAACTTATACAAAATAGAGCCAGTCTGTCAAAGACAACTTACTTGGAGTATTACAAAGATAAAGAATTTTGGAGTAGAGCTTTACTGAAGGTCTCATATATATTAAAATAACGTTATTGTCTCTAATGCTTCCTTGATCAATTTGGATGTTCTCAGAATATTTAGGAAATTTCAAGTGACAATCATCCTTTTTTTTCTCAAATATTTGCTTCATTTATTTGAAATGCAGATTTACAGAGAGAGCAAGGGACAAAGGTCTTCGGTCCTCTGAGTCATTTCCTAGATGTCCACAATGGCCTGGTGCAGGCCAGGTCAAAGTAGTAGCATGTAGCATCTTATAAGTCTCACAAGGAGGTGCCAGGGCCCAAGCATTGGATTATGTTCAACCATTTTCAAACATTTGAAAAATAAACTTAATTGGAAAATATCTATAATTACTTTAAAATATCAATTCATATTCCTACCAGGTCTTAAACATTATTCAAATGTACTAGCAAGTAGATAGTTTCTGATATAAAGAATGATGGGATCACATTAGGTAATGACATTTTTCGTAGAAAATACAAATTGCTAAGTATGTTCATTGAGTCCCCTACAGTGTATTGATTAAATGTATATTGATTGATACATACTTTGAGATATGTTTTATATGTGTATATTATGTATATGTATTATATGTATACACACATGTATATAAAACATATGCACATTTATATATAACATATATAAATATATTTATATAATTTATAATATTTATATATTTATAATTTATATATATTTATATAATTTAAATATATATATTTATATATATATAAATGAAAGCAAAACCAAGTATTTCTTCTTGTCCTCTAAGGGTAAAGAAAGAGCTGCCTTCTGGGAATAATTTAGATTTACCATGTAGATGTTGACCTTAAATTATTTTCTAGGAAATTTACTTTCAGAGTTTTCTGAAAATTGGATCAGCCAAAATTAATATCAAGTAGAAGATAAGAGCTTGGGCTCTGGAGGGGTTTTTTTGTTTGTTTGTTTTATTCTACTAAAAAGAAAAAAGAATCATTGCTTTTAGTTCTTGGATCTTTCAGCAAGAATCTGGAACCTGTCTTCAGTCCAATTTTACCTTTTGTATTTTTTTTTTTTGTATTTTTGTTTTCATTATCTGAATGGCAGTAGTGTGTTGAATCATAAGTAATGTTAGAGAATTTTGAGATTTACACAGATTTTGTTGCAGCCAATATGTCAATCCCCAGTATTTGTGTGTGGACATTGGATTTGCAAATTCACTCTTACGGTTTGTATTGAAGAGTTTGCTCCTTTGAATTCTGTACCCAGTCCTAGTTTGTTGCTGTGATGCTTCATGTTCCTAAGTTCAAAAGGCTGTGGTATGCCCAATGAGAAAATACACATTAGATAAGCTTTGTTTGTGTTTGTGTTATGGTGCTGTTGGCTGTGAGTTCAATGTTAATGAGTGAGCCTACACACACTAAATCAGGCTTCACAGAAACACACATAAAGCAAGGTACTTTATTGATTCATGGATGGAAACATTGGGCTAAAGACTTGCGGCAACCTTACTCTGTCTCTTCTAGGTACATCAATTGTATCAGTATTTGCTAACTCAGTATCTGTTGTAATTTTGTAGAATGTAAGTACCACTACAAATAATGAAAATTGTATAAAAACATACAATTACCAGGTAGTGGACCAGGTTCCATGAGTTCAGAAACCAAAGGCATTAGCTTTATCTCTTACAAGGTACATGATCTATAACAAAGATAAATTCACAATGGAATGATCATGTTGAGACAGTTCTGCAATACGGATGAAAGTAAGATACTAATGAATCTAACACTACCTCAAAGTGTCCAGGTAATAACGTAAGGATGAGAAGTTATATGCCACATGTAGGAGAATATATATTGAGAGGGGGCGTATGTATTTCTAAACAGAACATAATGTTGGCATTCTCAGTCATGTTCTTGCCATGTTGTTTCAGAAATATACTGTGGAGAAATTCTTGCACCTCTTGCTAAAATGAACTCTGAGGAAAAATGAAGAAAACTGGAGAACTCCCAAGAAAAAGTTGCAGATCACAAATAGCCACATTCCTCTGGGGTCTTTAATTCATCCATAACCATCGACAAAAGGTGAGGGAACCATCTGTATTATTTTTTGTTCTTTTCAATTTTTTAATATAGTATCCAGTACTGTAAAAGGAGGGATATGTCTGCATTTATTCAAAACCTATTTGTTGGTTGGCTTCTGCATGTCTGTAGAACCTTTGTAGAGTATATGATGTTGGAGCGAAGAAAAGTGCAAGTTCATGATCATGGAAAAATTTGCATCTGGTAGGAGACAACAAGTTCGTAAGCAGGGAGGAAACTGACAGCCACTAATAATCACTGATAATGTTTATGAACATGGGATACAAGTCAGCCAGTAAAGGGTGACTGAGTGGCTGCTTAGAGTGGCAAAGCAGAAAACTTTGAGAAATCGGAGCTGGGAACTGAGTGGTAGAAAAGAGACTGTCAACCACGCTTTGGGGTTGGATCTCCCCTTGTCCACCTGGATAGTCGTCTGTGGCTCGAGATACAGCCTGTATGCTATAAGAAGCAAGAAGAGTATCTTGATATCATTCCAATGAAGAAAGAGCAAAAGCCATTAGCAGGCCAGTGAAAGATTGAGCATCTGTTCTAAAAAAACAATAATAATAACATAAAAAGAACCCTTAAAATCAGAAATGCACTGAAACTGAAAACTTTCTAAGCATTTCAGATTTTGAATTTTGGGAAACAGAGATGCTTACCTAGTAAAGTCTATGCCAATGAAAGAATTCTAAATTCTGAGAAAATAAAATTCATTACCTTTCTGATTCCTCATGCTTCAGATAAAGGATCCTCAGCCCGTATTCTATTTTCTTAATTAATGGGCATGCAGGAATTACAATTGTGGAAAATTGGGCAATCTCACCCAAGAAGTAGACACTGTTAAGAGAAGCAACCTAGATTGTGGCTTTGTAAATGGATGGATTTTAAAGGCATTTTGGATCAGTTTTACAGCATGGATAACCACCAGTATTCTTTGATGAACTCCAAATGTTGCTAATTTGTATACTCTGGTTATGGTGCCATTGGATTTGAATATGTAATAGTCAAGTTGCAATTTATCCCACTGCTTGTCATGTGTATTTCTGTGGCATGTTTCTTATGCTTAGTGAAATAAGCAAGTGTCAAAAAGATAAATATCATGTTTCCTCTGATATGTGGCAGTTAATACAGAGTGGGAACTAAATGTATAGGAATGTAAGACTTCTTGTCATGCGGTTATTTTTGCAGCCCTTGATTACACTCCTGCAAAGCTGTGGTCTTCCTACTTTTCAATTGTTGGATGTTATGGTCAATTAAGCCTGTAAATATAAAGTGGGTTGAAATAGTAAGGGATCCCATGACTCAGAGTGTAAACCAATAAGCATGTGTCATTTTTCATCAGTCTATGGATGTGTTAGGAAGCTATGCTGGTCTGGACAATCTTAACTGATTCTAACCTGTTTTGCTCGGTAATTTACTATCAGTTGGCAGGGTTGCCTAGATATTCTAGGATGACTTCATTCATGTATCTGGTGAATGATTGGTTTTCATGATAGCAACTGAGTTCCCTAGCAAGCTAGTTAAATGTAACTTAGTGGCAATTCAGCAAAGTCAGCTATGCATTTGAGAGAATGAGAAGTGGCACGTTTGGGGGAGGGAGGGATTAAAATACTGTTTGGAATGGTCACAATTCATTGGGGTGACTTTTTAAGGCACATCTCCATTTCCAATGCACATGTATACCCTGGAAAGATACAGTGATGGACCAAATATTTGGCTTCCTGCCACCCACATGAGAGATGTAGATTAAGTTATAGGACTCTAGTTTCCGCCTGGCCCAGTCCCAGCTGTTTAGGCATTTTGGAAGAGGACCAGGGTGGAAAATCTCTCTCTTATAAAGTTTTAAAGAGACTGAAAGAGAATTAAAGAGAGTGAAAAAAACATGCAAAACTTCTTCAAGTCTAGTTTCATATGGCCATTTTGGAAATGAAGCAGAGGATTGAAGGTATCTCTGTCTAACCCCTCCCTTCACCCCCACATCTCTTTCAAGTAAAACAAATAAATCTGAAAAAAAAGAAAACCAAAATTATTTTTAAAAGCATAGGTATTTTGGTGCAAAACTTTCAAAGCCATGTAAGAAACGGATCTTCCAATGAAAAATACTATGGAAGAGCTTTTCATGGATTTCTAGTTCTTGCATTCAAATAAACACTGGAGTTTTATTTTCTATAGTTTAAATGAGTAAATAAAATTTGCAAAGAGTGAAAGAGAGGGAAAAACAGACAGGATGATCTTGCATATGTGGATTTACTTCCTGAATGGCATGGGCTGGTCCAGACTAAAGTCAGAAGCCCAGATGACCATCTGGGTCTCCCTCATGTGTCCTGGTACCATCCCCTGTTGCTTTCAAGGTATGTTATCAAGGATCTAAAGAGAAAGAACTTCAGGACTCAAGCCAGCGCTCTCACAACAGGATGCCCCAAGCGATGGCTTAACCGGCTGTGTCTCAAGTTTGCTCCTCCATAAACATTTGAAATACCATCCTATTTGTTTCCAAACGGAAGGAAAGGGGAAAATACATTTATCAGCACTTGGAGAAAAAGGTTAGGATGGGAAGGGGCCTGAAGGAAGTTTCCAGTATATGACTGTGATTGTGGCTTCTGGGAGATACAGCAGTGATGTGCATCACATGATAGGGAGTTTTAACATGGAGAAAGTCTCATAAGCATGTTGAGAAGAGTGAGTTTATTTTTGTGGAAACCAAAGAAGGGCTGGGCTGATTATTCCAAGCCAAAGCTAAAGAACACACAAGGTCTCTCTGAGGTCCGTTGACATTAAGAGTACATTTATACTGAATTCTGTACATACACGTGTTTCCACTGAGGTATGTTCATGAAACAAAAGAAGATGTCAATTCACAGCTTTTTTCACCCTGAGACTCAATTGCATAAATTAAAATAGCTCTGTTTGGTAGTTTTTGTAAGCTACTTTTTCTTCCTGTGCCTGTGGTTTATATCACATCAGCAGGTGCAGCAAATGTTACTGTAAAGCTTAGCAAATTGGCATTAGCATTTTAAGTTCTTTGAAGACAGAATGGGAACTTGATGGTGGGATTAAATGCTGGTGGCACCTACAAGTGAAGAATTTGGAACCAAAAAAGAAAAACAGCAAAAACAGAACAAAACAAAACAAACCTCCCCCCCCCACTCTTAATGGCTTAGGAAATGTGTTATGTTCATTATCCCTTTCTGTTTTATATTGATAATTCTTTGCGTTCTATTTTAACAAGTGAAATGAACATTAATTTTCAGAAAATAAATAAAGATAAAACAGCATAGCCAGTGGGAAATAAGTAACATAATAAAAGCTGAAAACAAAGATATAAACTCCAGTGAATATTCTCTAGGAACAAAATAATGGATGCGTTCACTTTTTCTTCTGGCAAGAGGAAGTATCACCATTTTAACTACTATGTTAATTTTTTTATACCATTCATTCCTTCTTGAAATTTTCCCCAAACATGACTTTATATAGTTTTGCAACAGTAACATTCATGACACTTTAAGTTTTATGTATTTTTATTTATTTATTATTTAATTTGAAGGTAGACAGAGAGACAAAGATCTTGCTTCTGCTGACTCACTCCCTGAGTGCCCACTCTAGCCAGAGAAGGACTAGGCCAAAGCCCAAAGCAAGGACCTCAAGCTCTGTCTCCTGTGGGGAGAGGTTGTCAGAAACCCAACCATGTGTTTTACCATTCCTACCCAAACAAGGGTATACGAGCAGGAAGCTGGAACTAGAGTGGTGCCGGATCTCAAACTCGGGCACTCCAATAAGGGCTGTGGACATTGCAAGCAGCATTTTAACTGCTAGTTAAATCCCCACCCAACACACATAACATTTGATGTTGAATAATTCTTGTTGGATACTATCTCATGCATTGTAGTATATATGGCCGCATTCTCAGTCTGTATGTGCCAGCTGCAATAGCACCACCACTGGATACAAGCTAGGACAATAGAATTAAGGTGTGGGACAGTGATTAAGCCACTGCTTGGGACAGCTGCATCCCATTAACAGAGCACTGAGGTTTGAATCTAGCCTCTACTTCCTAGTCTACTTCTTACTCTTGCACACCTCAGGAGGTAACAGGTGTTGGGTAGGAGAGAAGGGTAGAGTCCCAGCTCCTGCCTTCCACCTGCCTCAGTTCCACTGTTAGACACATGTGCCGAATGAGCCAGCAGACAGAAGGTGGATTGATACATCACTCTCTTCCTCCTCCCCCTCCAATCCCCTCCCTTCTCTTTCTTCCTCCCCTTCTTCCCTTTCTCTTCAAAAATGCCAAATGTTCTCCTGGGTAACAAAATTACACCTAGATGACTGACCTAGATTCTTTTCATCTTGCTCCTGTGGGAGTGAGAACAGAAAAAAGCAGATAAATTCCCTTTCCATTTCTTTCTGTGGTGGACTCTTCCAAAGTGTGTGTGTCTATATAGCCTGGTTAGGGGTACCCTACATCACAGCAAATGCATTCGCTAGGCTACTGGCTGTATTTCCTCATAGTTCACAGCAACACAGCAGCCAGAACAATAATATATATCCTTGCATTTCTTCCCATCCCTCTTTCCCTCTTTCTCTCCCTTCTGCTGCTGCCTTAGGATGCATGTTCCAAATAAATCACTTACTCTTAATGTTTGTCCCACAGTTTCCTCAGAAAACTGAGCTAAAAACAAGACACTGTGTGGATAGGATTTTGGACTTGGATAACTGACCTGCCTGAAAGCAATAGCTATCACATTTTCAGCGATAAATTGGACTGAAAATAAGCACTGGCATGGAGCAGAATCACAATTGCTTAAGCTTTCAACTGTAGTAAATTGGAATAGAGCTTGGTAGAAAGTCAGATATTGGGCTGTCTAGTAGTTGCAGCACACAGCAAGTACTAGAACAATGACAATTGGAGAAATGTGGAATAGGGTGTCTTCTTTTGATCCACAAAAAAATGTTGTTAGATTAGAGATAGTTAATTTCTGATTTTATACATGCTCTGAGAGCCTGAG